GCGTGAGAGTGCAGCATTACTTAATCTGGGAGTGTGTGCTCTCCCCCAAATGCGGGCTTCCAGGAAGCCCGCACACTGTCCATGCAATGATGCCCACACACATGAGTGGGCTGCGTTACTCAATTTGGGAGTATGGGCTCTCCCCAAATGCGGGCTTCCAGGAAGCCCGCACGTTATGCATACACCTTCTCGGTTATGTTGCCCACACGCATGAGAGTGCAGCATTACTTAATTTGGGAGTTTGTGCTCTCCCCAAATGCGGGCTTCCAGGAAGCCCGCACATTGTGCACACACCCTTCACGGCCGTTTGCCATCAGACCTGTAAGCGAGGTTGAGTATACATTGCTGTGTCGGCCTCAGTTCTTTCCGCATTAGACACTACTAGGTGTGTGACCCGTGGACAGCCACAGGACAAAAAGCGGTTCTGTAAACATAATTAGTGTTGTTCTTGGCCTGGCCTAAAAGCCAAAGCCAGGCCAAGCCAAGCCAGGATTTAGGCCAAGCCAGGCCAGGCCAAAGCCAGTACCGGGCCAAGCTTTGTTGGCCTGGCTTCACAACCGAGGCAGGCCAAAGCCAAGCCAACAGGCCAGGGCTTTACTATAATAACAGTAGTCCCCATAGCTTAGCTATTATTAGTTAATGTACGACACCTTTACTAACCGTGGGAAATTTTCAATCAAAAGCGCGCTGCCTCCTAGATCTAGGTATGATACTATCTGGCTCATCTTTGAGCTTACACCAGTGAATATACATCAAATGTGATTAAGCAGGCTAATGCTGTCATGAAACATGACATCAGGATGCAAGAAGATTGACAAGTATTACCAGAAGACAACCAAATCAGACGTCTATATAATGGCCATGGGTGAGTCAAAGGGTGATAATGCCTACAAATATTTTATCTAATTTTTTACAGTGCTTGTTCCGAACCAGAAGCTAGCATACTTCAAGAAGTACTGGCCAGAAGACCTGCAGGATGGTTTGAAAGAAGAAATTGAGTCTGTGGTTTGTGTCTGGCAATAGACAGTGATTGTTATCTTTACTGATTGGTTCTCAGTTTCAGGACTACTTCTGTTCTGCCAGGAGCGCCAGGAACCTGTCCTCTAGTGGTTCTAACACCAAGAAAATCTCCCAGAACTGTCTTATACCCCTCAGTGACAGTGATGATGATGATGAAGAAGACTCTGCCTCGCTTTTCTCTCACAGTACATCCTCACAATGGCAGATTCAGTATCACAGCTACTTGGATGTTAAACATGATCTGCCAAGTGGCATGACTATAATTCAGTGGTGGGCAATAAGTCTTACTCTTATAAACATCTGTCATTGAATTCTGACTGTCCTTATAGCGCCATGCAGAGCAGTACCTCACTTGAGATGCAATAGCTTGTGACTATTTGTCTGTTATGGCTTCTTCTTTGTCTAGTGAGCGTTCATTTTCATCTGGGGGAATAACTATCAGCAAGCAGTGCAATCGTCTTGAGGGGGACATTGTTGAGGCACTTCAGGTGCTGAAATGTGCTATTAGGAGTGACTTACTCCTCCAGGTGGCTGAAGAGGCTGAGGAGGAGCAAGAGGCGTTGGAAGATGAGGGAGAAGGTGAGGAGGAGTGGGATACTGCTTGATTAGAAACAGAGAGTGGTGACCTTTATGCTACTGACTCTGAGAGCGAGAACGAGTACTAGCCTAGATGGTATTTAAAGAGGTTTTTGTACTGCTGACCTAGTGGTTTTTGTCCTCTAATCGAATTACTTACTGCATAACTAGTTGTGCCACCGCTTAAGTGAGAATCTATAACATGGTTTCAGTGTCTAATATCTTCGCCATTACAAGACGGAAATTCATGAATAATTGTGCGTTCAATAGACATAAGTCTCAGCTTCAGTTTCCTGGCTCACCTGTAACTTTCGGACCGTTTAAACTTAATCTATGCATAATAAAATGAAGGCTAGTCAAGTATAGTATATTAGAAGTAAGAAAATCGAAATGCACTATGTAAGCCAATGGCTTGAGCCAAGCCAAGCCAGGGCCAAGCCAAACACCAATAGCGTTGGCCTGGCTTGGGATCTGATCAAGCCAAAAGCCACCCAAAGCCAAGCCAAAGCCAGTGGCTTTCAGGCCAAGCCAAGCCAAGAACAACACTAAACATAATTGTGCTATGTCGGAAACTACGTCCAGGGTTTATAATGAAGCCGGTTTATAATGGGAATTTTGCATCCTGAAGCATTAAAAACTTCATTATTATCGCTTAGTCAGCACCCAATAATGCATTGTAATGGCCATTATCATGGCAACTGATCATTCCCAAGCAAGTTCATCAAAGGCTGAAATGATTTTTAAGCATAATAATGCTTGAGAATGCCCTTTAAACGGCCGCTCGCATATGATAATGCCCCGCAGAAAGTTCCGACATATTATACTCGGCTGCCGAGTAAACTTTCAGTGGGATGATTTATAATGCCCAGTTAAATCATTTTGCGTGCAAGCACTTCATGATTTATTCACCCACCCATGCATCTCTCACCTCACCCGTACAATTATTGGCTCACTCATGCATCTATCAGCTTGACTGTACAGCTCCCAGATCACCCGTACATCTCTCCATTCACCTGTACACACCCCAAGTTACCCAAAC